GAAGTCGTCAAGTCTGCGCGCGAGACGATTCGTAATGACTCTCGAAAACAGCACGTAGACGCGGCTCAGAAGGGAAATCGGTCTGTAGTTCTTCAAGACAGCGTTGTCACCTTTCGTGAAGAACAAGACCACCGCACTTCTGCTCCACGCTTCCGGTGTAATGCCACCATGGAGGACGGAATTAAAGAGCCTCTGAAGGACTTCAAGTACCGGTTTTCCACCCGATTTCAGAAGCACCGCTGTAATTCTATCCTCGCCTGGGGCCTTGCCGTTTTTAAGGTGCTGGAGAGCCATTTTAATCTCGCTCAGACTGACGTCCGGGATATCTTCGGAATAGTGTCGAATAAGACTCGCTCTTGGATCGTTACTCACACTTGCGTGTGGCTCCAACGATGACGTGTACAGCTCCCCATAGAACCTCTCAATCTCACTCAAAATCTCAGGTGCCCCGGAAACGATGCTGCCATACTCGGTCCTCAGCTTTGACAGTTGGCTCTTTCTGGCAGACAGATCTCTGGCAAAGACTTTGGAGCCTTGGTACCGCTCGATCCCTTCTTCAATACAAGCTGTATTGAAGTTTTTTTTATAGGATAAGGGTGACAAATGAGCACACAGTCCACCTGATGGTAAGTGGCTGCTGCGGCCCATAGACATCTATATCTATCCTCTATTACAAATCAAAATGTAAATGCGTTGTCACCCGTGAGGACTAAGATGGAATGCCTCATTTCCAGTAAAAAGGGCCCCCGGCCACCTGTACTCACCAAGCGAAACGCAGAGGTAAACCTCTACTTCACGGTTTTCTGTGAGGTCGTAGTACCACCCCGGTTCGAGCTGGCCCATGCGTGCGACAGCAAAAGCTGCCGCGTGGCTCTACCACTGTTAAATAAGTCTAATAATAATAAGTTGCGTAAGTCCCGCCGCATGCAATTAGAGATCTGTCTGTTCAGTTGCCTGTATGCTGTCAAATCTGTTGAAGAATGTAGCTTCATCTCCCATCTAACAGCCATGAGATTAAGAGTGTGATCGGAGAGTTTTTGTGTTCTTCTGCGGCGGTTCTTGCAGAACTTAGCTCCAACCGCATGCACAGTTTCCACGAGCTTGTCATTCATATCGTCCACTTCATTGCACTTTTCTAGGCACTGAAAACGGTTTTGTAACTCGAGCTGAAAGGTTTCAGAACTTTGGAACAGAGCACGAGAGGGACGGAGTATTGACTTCATTAGACGAGACCTCTCCAACTTAACGTTTAGGTTCAGTGTGCCTCTAACCATTCGGTGATTGAAGTCTCCCATTAACACCGTATATTGGGTTTTGGAGGAATGCATGGCGCTAGAGATATCCTCATGCATTTCCTCCACCTCCTCATCAGGGTGTGCCGAGGTTGGTGCGTAAACCTGTATGACCTTCAGCGAATACCGTTTGGTGATTCTGAGTATAAGGTACGCAACCGTCGTCGACACACTCTCAATCTTTACAACGTTGTTAACGAGAGACTTGTGGACGGTAAATCCGACACCTCCTTGGGACAGATGGTCGTCCTCCCGGTGATAGAGCAAGTTGCTGGATTCGAGGATTACCGTGTCCTCCCCCTCTCTTCGGACTTCGGATAATCCTATAATATGCCAGCGTAACTTGTCTATCTCTTCTTCCAGCTCCACGATCTTCTCGTCAGTCCTCAGGATGCGTGCGTTGTACGTTGCCAGGTCGAGTCGTCTAAGGTTGCAACCGAACCTCCACCGGAGATTCTTAGCACCCCCTGCCCCGCCGTTACCATAGTCGCCACCGTAGCCAGGAATAGCGGGCCGCCGGGGACTGGGGGCCGTCTCTTTGTTACTATCTTCATTGGGGGGTATTTGCCATAGTTGCTACGCTTGTCGAGCGGGTTCGCAACCGCAGTTTTTTTTTATTGTAATATCGGCTACTATCAGGAAGATGCTGCTGCCCATCTCCTGCCTGTTTCCCTTTGTCGCCTTTTACGACACCCACGGGAAGATATGGGGTAGTGGATATTCTTGACCGCCACTACACGGCAGATTCAATATACAAGACAAAAATATAACAGATTACAAGAACTTCCATGTAATGACAAATGGGAAACAACAATATTATTGAATATGCAAATGAATACATCTAGGCCAAATAATTTCACCAACAGATATAACAACAAAGGAAATCTACAGACGTATAGGATACGCTTGGAAGCAATACTAAAGGCTAAAGGAAATAATGAAAAACAAATATACTAGTATGACCATCAAACACAATCTTTGACAGTTGCATTTTACCTGCCCTCATATATGGCTGCCAGTTCTGGGCCTTTAACAAAACCCATATTAGGAAACTAGAAATTTGTCAAAACGCCATGGAGAGAAGAATGATGAGAAAAAGATTATCCGACAGAGTAAAGGCCACAACTATAAAGTCAACTTACAAAAACACATGTGGTAAAATTAAATATTTTGTATAACCGACTACAATATCAATAAAATAAGAAGATCAGCAATGTACTCAATTAAATACGGATTAACAAAGATATATTCCGAAAGGGCTTTAGCACCATAGACCACATACATACCCTTCGGCAAGTTGTACAGAATTTGCCACTATGTCTGGCGTATGTGGACTATGAGAAAGCCTTTGATTCCGTCGAAATTTGGGCGGTGCTGCAGTCCCTTCAGCGGTGCCAAATTGACTGTCGGTATATCGAAGTGTTGAAGTGCTTGTACAGTAGGGCTACGATGGCTATCCGAGTACAGAACCAGAGTACGAAACCTATCCAATTGCAGAGAGGTGTAAGACAGGGTGACGTCATATCCCCGAAACTCTTCACCGCTGCATTGGAAGACGTTTTCAAGCTTCTGGACTGGAAAGGATACGGTATCAACATCAATGGCGAGTACATCACTCACCTTCGATTTGCCGACGATATAGTCCTTATGGCAGAATCGCTGGAGGGCCTAAGCACTATGCTCAATGACCTCAATAGTGTTTCCCAACGGATAGGTCTTAAGATGAACATGGACAAAACAAAGATTATGTTTAATGTCCATGTCACACCTATGCCGGTAGTTGTTGGGAGCACTAAGCTCGAAGTTGTTGACGAGTATGTTTACCTGGGACAAATAGTCCGACTAGGTAAGTCCAACTTCGACCGAGAGGTCAATCGACGGATTCAACTCGGCTGGGCAGCGTTCGGGAAGCTACGACACATCTTCTCGTCAGACATACCTCAAAACCTTAAAACGAAATTGTACAACCAGTGCGTGTTGCCAGTGATGACTTACGGAACTGAGACGTGGTCCTTCACTGCTGGCCGTATGAGGAAGCTCAAGGTCGCTCAGCGAGCTATGGAGAGGGCTATGCTCGGAGTTTCTCTGCGTGATAAACTTAGGAATGAGGATATCTGCAGTAGAACCAGAATAACCGACATAGCCCAACGAATTAGTAAGCTGAAGTGGCAGTGGGCCGGCCATATAGCTCGAAGAACCGACAACCGATGGGGAAGAAAGGTTCTCGAGTGGCAACCTCGTACCGGTAGGCGAAGTGTAGGGCGTCCCCCCACGAGATGGAGTGACGACCTGGTAAGACATGCAGGAAGTCGATGGATGCAGGTGGCTCAGGACCGTGCTTTGTGGCATTCTTTGGGGGAGGCCTATGTTCAGCAGTGGACTTGTGAAGGGCTGTAATGATGATGATGATGAATGATAACAAAGATAACTCAAAATACCACTGGTCATCAGATTTTGATCAAATTTATATGGGACCGCATGTGAAGCCCCAGCTTTCAAATAAAAAAAAATAATATTGCAGCTTAAAGTTAATCAGTTAAAAAAGATTTTTTATTCAGCCATTGTTCCCAATTGTCTCCATAATCCTGTTTGTTTGCATTTCTTAAGCAAAGGCCTCCTGCAATTGTCTTCACACATTTCTATTAAGAGTTGTTCTGGTTCATATATTGCCGGCTACTGATTTAATGTCATTAACCCATCTCCTGAATAGTCTGCCTCTTTTCCTTTTCTTTTATCTTGTGCACCAATACATTATTATTTTGCTCTATTTATCTGTTCCCTTAACTGTATATTCTGTCCATATCCATTTAAGCTACTTCATTGTGAGTCACGTCTTTATAACCGACTTCAAAAAAAAACTTCAAAAAAAGGAGGAGGCTCTCAATGCGACTGTATGTTTTTTTATGTGTGTTACCTCAGAACTTTTTTCTAGGTGAACCCATTTTAATGATTCTTTTTAATTTGAAAGCTGGTGCTTCACATGTGGTCCCATATAAATTAGATTAAGGTCTGACCAATAGTTTTTAGTTATTCTTAATAATTTATATTGAAGTCGATTGTACAAAGTTTTTAATTTGAATTTTTTTTTATAGGATTCTCGTGACAAATGAGCACACAGTCCACCTGATGGTAAGTGGTTACTGTGACCCATAGACATCTACATCTATCCTCAATAAAGACTCAAGATGCGTTGTCACCCGTGAGGACTAAGATGGAATGCCTCTTTGGCAGTAAAAAGGGTCTCCGGTTCTCTACACTCACCATACGAAACACAGCAGCGTTAATCTGCTATTTTACGCTGGTTTTGTCTGAGAGCGTGGTCCTTCCCCGGTCGAGCCGACCCATTCGTGCTACAACCATAATATAGCTGCAGCATGGCTCTACCACGTTTAAGCATGGCTCTACCACGTTTAAATTAATTAATAAAATTATTTATATTGAAGTCAGTTGTACAAAATTTTTAATTTTATCACCTTGTTAACGATTTTTTTCCTTAATTATTAAGCAAAGGCTTATTTAGTCTACCTGCACTAATAAATAATTAGTATATTCCTTCTTAAAGTATTAAGTTAACAATTCAATATAATATATTTTTTTTAATTTCTTTTATACTGAAGATATTAAACAAGGCAAAACTACCAGCATTATGTATAAAAGGCCAAAAATACTAAATTATATTCAAAGCAAACTTTTAAGTTAACTTTTTACCTGAGGCGGTGACTTGTTCTCGGCAATGGGTATAGACTGAAGTCCAAGGTCCAGAGCGTAATCAACGTGTTCGATGAGCAGGTGCTGTATTAACACATCGAGGAGAGCTATGGCAGTCGCTGGCAGTTCGTTGGCGGTGCATAGCTGCAGGCAACAAAAATCTGAAGTCATTGGAACTGATCAAGTCAGAAACTACGTTCTTTAATTATTTAGACACATTGCAAGCCGTGATTCAAGCTGTTAAAAGCAATCTATGATGAGAAAATTGCTCTTTAATTCTATTCCATTCTCCATGGTGACACTATTCCAGAGGCGCGAAGCAGAAGTATTGTTCTTTAAGAAAGGCGACAACGCTCTATTAAAAAACTACAAACTGATTTCCCTACTATAGTATAATATCGAGCATTCCCTACCGGGAATGCTCGATAGTCGATTTCTGATTGCAAACCTAATTGTAATGTTTTCTGAAACCAGTAAAGAAGGATGTCACTTACAGTTTTACACCTCAAAAACGACATCTTGGCGTCATTCAGCATCTTCTGTACAAGCTGTTCACTAAGGAATGTCTCGCCGCCGTAGTTTTCTATTTGTGCTATGTTAATGTTAGCTCGTGTACCAATCACAGCTTGCAAATCTCGACGAAGCTCTTGAAATCTGAAATCATATATTTTCTACTAAAACTTAAAATCCATTGTCAGCTATTAAAGGAGTCTGTGGATGCAAGTGACACAAGCCTGTGGTTTTTCCCCGTTTCAGTATCGCATATCGCAACAAAATTGACGATACCATCCATACAATTTGGATGACTGGCGGCCTACCACTGTGTGATTTACCAGTACTTTTCTTACTTGGAAAACTTCTTTGCAGTACTATTCTTCAGGACCTGCAATTCCTCAGATGTAGCGTATGCACATTTGCCGGTCTTTTAAATAGGATAAGCTCGTTTCTTAAAGGTTTGGGCACTTCTTTAAAAAAATGTATAATTTAATAAACGGGACTTTTGTTATTTAACATGTCAGTTCCTTTGTTTTTTTTTTTATAGAATAAGGGTGACAAACGAGCACACAGTACATCTGATGGTAAGTGGATGCTGTGGCCCGTAGACATCTTCTACATTTATTCTGAATTAAGAATCAACATGCAAATGCGTTGTCAGTTCTGAGCACTAAGATCGAATGCCTCGTTTCCAGTGAAAAGGGTCTCTGGTTCTCTACATTCACCATTCCAAACACAGCAGCATTTAGCTGCTATTTTACGCTGGTATTCTGTGAAAGCGTGGTCCTTCCGCGGTCGAGCAGACCCATTCGTGGTACAACCATAATATAACGTGGTCTACCAAATGTAAACCTTTTTTTTATGTTTTAGTTGAAACATTGTCATTCTAATGAGGAAAAAACATGCCAAACTAAAATTGTTGGTTTATTATGAGACTTTTTAGGAAGTGGGTAGAATTTAAATAAAGAATAATTAAAAAAAATATAGTTACAATGAATTTTTTTTATTGACAAATAAATAATGGCTTAATATTATATTATAGACTTCTTTTTTAGGATAAGGTACTAGCTTGATTTTTAAAGAGAAATACATGCCTCAAGCACTTAGGCATTCAAGTTTGAGGGCCCGACCGACTGTTATTTAATGTGTTGCTCAACTTTCACAAATGAAATGAATGAAATATAAATATAATATGAAATTGCAAAATGAAATAAAATTTAAAACTGCGAAGGAGAAAATTTCGCTAGTTTTATTTATCACTTCTCATTCCTTATAGCACCCTAATAGATTATCCTCACTGGTAGGAACAAATTGGTTTTTTTTGTGTACTAGTGTAGAATAGGAAGAAATTATAATTTACTAGCGACTACTACTTTTATACGTGGTAGAGCCATGCTGCAGCTATATTAGTAGTATAGTTGTAGCACAAATGGGTCGGCTCGACTGGGGAAGGACCACGCTCTCACAGAATACCAGCGTAAAATAGCAGCTTGACACTGCTGTGTTTCGTATGGTGAGTGTGGAGAACCGGAGACCCATTATACTGGAAAAGAGGCATTCCATCTTAGTCCTTACGGGTGACGACGCATCTGCGTTTTGATTCTTTGTTGAGCATAAATGTAGGTGTCTATGGGGCACAGTAACCACTTACCATCAGGTGGACTGTATGCTCGTTTGTCACCCTATCCTATAAAAAACAGATCCGCTCCGGCTTCGCACGCGTGATTTCAAGATCTCGTCATCAGCGCCGCCTACCGAGTGCAATTGTGCATCTAAACCGTTTTCGAATCAACTTAAACACACACAAAATTTCATCAATCGGTCCAGCCGTTTAGTTGGCGTTCTGTTACATACACACGAACAATTATATTTATATAATTATAAATATAAAACTTCCTCTTGAATAATTTTGTCTATTAATGAACACTGCAGCAATATCCGTTGCGCAGTTCAAAAGATCTAAGCATACATATGGCGGGAAGCGATTTTGTTTTATACTATGTAGAGAAGTGTAACTTCTATTATCAACGATAAAAACTTACCCTCCTCCCTGTATCTGTTTCTTGACATGTTGTTTCTCGTTGTAATATGTGTTGAGAGCATTGGATAGAACCGCTTTTAACCGCCTCGTTTCAAGTGCGGCGTACCCGTCGTTTGCTCCCGCCAATGCTCCGTTAACAAGACCTTCGCGTCTTAAATCGCCAGTGGAAATGTTGCCATCAGCGGATACTAGGCCCGCTGCAACCAACTCGTCGCACACTTTTTGTGTGCTGTAATAAAATGTGCCATAGTTAATAATTCTAATATTCGCGTTTAGTTAATGCACCACGTTAACAATAAATAGTAATAATTCACAACTTACTCGAAAGATAAAAAAGCATCGCAAAGAAATAACTAACAGAATCACACGTTAATTTGTGGAAATCCATGAAATTAAAGATGTTAATAATTAATTAGCTAAAGATCTGCGTTAAAAAATAAAATAATGTCTTACTTAGTTTGAAGAGCACCTCCCTCAATCAATTACGTGCACTATCCTTGTCACCACTGACAGGTTTTCACCTGAGGGTGCCTCGTCTAGAGTACAACACGAGTCGTATCGACGGTGGCATGTCTATGTTAGTGTAGTGGTGTTGGGATTAGCGATCAGCAAACTATTAATTTTTAACATATTTAATTGCAAAAAAAATCTATGTATCCCAGAAAGTTGTACTATCTCCTTCTTTGGGAGGCAAAGAGCTCATATATCGTTCATCATTCGATTTCGTCAAGTGGGTGTCGTATTAGGCGACTAGGGGATGTGTCAGAAAGACTTAATGGATTCCAGTATATGATTGTGATAAATCTCTCTTTCCCGAGATCTATGTGTGATATTTAAAGCCTGATATTATACTTTATTGTCTAAACCTTCATCAAATAGTAAATATAAATATTTAAAGCATATCAACTATATCATGAGAATAACATTTACTTACAAAATTTGAACCAGTAATAGGGTATGATTTTTTTTATCTCTATCAAGATCTACCGTAATATGATTATAAATTTATATAAATTACCTTGTATACATGTCATACAGATTCCTTAAATACTTTTCAATGTCATTTTTATCAGCCAGTTTAGTCTGTATATACTTTTGTAGCTTCAGATGAAAAATATTCAAAACAAATTTGCTCATCACTTGGTCAGGATTTGGGAATACACTGCTTATGATTGTATAATTTTTCTTGCACAGAGGCAGTACAGCGGAGAATATGTCTTTACCAAGTAAAGTATTCTGCAAAATAAGTTTCTTCATTCAGAACAATTGAATACACAGTTTTTATTGATAGAGGCATGATATCTACACGTCCGAAGACTTAATACACGGTACAAAAATGAAAAATTTTGAGAAATAAGAAAAAAAATTAGCAGTCTGCTGCCACTACGATAATAGAATCTATTGGTGACTGATTTTGATCTGGTATTTAAAAAAAAATTAAAAGGAACAGTAAATATAAAAATAAAAATTAGACACAATCTAAGAATCGAAATCTTTGTCAACATGCCGTACCATTTGGCTGGTCTCAATAAAGGCGTCGACACACTGCGAATAACCCTTGAAATTTGTCATGATGTTTGCGATGGTCTTCATTTTCGCCAGATTGCCTTGGTTCTGCGCTTTCACAAATTCCTCAATAAGATTTCTTTCAATTTCGTCATACTTAGCTTCAATCTTTTTCTTTGCCACTTCAAATTTATCCGGTGGTAGTTCTTGTGCAATTGTGTACAATTTTTGTATGACGTCAGCTGCTTCATTTAGCTGTGAAAAAATATTTTTTTAAATTAATTCGTTTGATTATAATTAGCGTTAGACGCATGTTAAAATAGGCTTTTGTTAAGTACCATCATACCATCAGTTGGGATAGTAGTAGCTTACAATGGCATAAGTATACTATATTATTGACGGCTCCGTGGCGCAGTGGCTTAGCAATGAGTTGCAGCGCTAAGGGCCGCGGGTTCGACCCCTCGCACGAAACAAGTACCCCGACTGGATGTTCCGCGATACAGGATAAAATCCTAGTGTGGAGGTAAAGATTAAAAAAATTGAGTTATAGAGTGACGACACGGTAAGAGATGCATGAAGTTGATGTATGCTAGTGGCCAGGAACCATACTTTATGGCATTCTTTGAGAAAAACCTATGTTCAGTTGTAGACTTCTGATAGACTGTGATGATGATGATGATGATGATGATGATGATGACGAAGATGACTATGGTAATGATGACGATGAAGATGACTATGACGGCGACGAGGAGGATGATGATGAATGGTATAACACTGGTTTTAGCAACAAATTCCGTAGCATATGATTTATAAAATTTAAAAATCTTTTAATTTTTCATATTGCATACATTCTACCCACTACTACAAATGCAAAAATATTGCACACTCTTGTACACTGGCCTTCTCTCATTCCTATTAGGTTCTGCTCTGCAATGGGCCTTTCAACTTCCCGATTTTTTTTATTTCTCAACATTTCGGTTTTTAGCGATACTTCTCTCACGAGATAAATCAGAATTTAAAATTTCATTTACCATTTCATTGACGCTGTCGGTAATTAAACTCGCGTTTTTCACATCCTGTGTGTACATCAATTAAAAATACCAGCTCCCAGCTTCCATCCATCATGGTTTATCAACCATCATTAATCGGTCCTCCGGCGTAACACTATGCCATTGTATTTCAGAACTCCGAACAGTATGATATGCCACTGAGAATCATTTCTCGTTACCTTGCCTGCTGCCCCACCACAGTGTAGTGATTAAAGCACAGCATTGCGGTTTCTTATCTGTATAATGAGGGGCGTCACGTCCAGCAGTGGACTGTTCATTGGCTATTAAGAAGAAAATTGGAGGTTTGAATATTCCATTGTAAAAAGTATTTTCTATCATTTTTTTTATACAAGAATATTTATTTTTACAGTGTAGCGGCGGTGTAAGAATATTCACTGCTCCATATCATCCCGTGGGTGTCGTAAGAGGCGACAGTGGGAAACAAATAGGGAGATGGGCAGCAGAATCTTCATAATAACGATTAAAAATAAAAAACTGCTTGGCACGTCAAGCTTTGCAACTATCCCCCCTATGAGGCAATATATGGGGGAGGCAGATGTTCAGCAGAAGACTTTAGTAGGTTGCGCCTATTAAAAGTAAGAATATTTTTTTACTTATATATGTTTTTTTGATAATGTATTTGATAAATTAAAAAAAAAATATGTACCTTATTGGGATCATTAAATAGGTCTGTAAGCACTGGGCCTGGACTAAGAAAATTTGCTAGATGTGACAAAAGATCCCGTGCAGCAGCAGCCCTGGCTCTCGGCGCTCTTGCGGCACCAAGTTTCTCCCCAACTTCCAAAGCCCTACCACCACAGCGAGACATTCGTTCATCCAAGGAACTGAATACGTTTACACAATGCTGCAAGAGATCATTTTAATAAAGGTTAACGATTGGGAATACATTTTCCTTTTCACTTTAATAATATTAACAATTCTATAATTAACACTCTATAGCCCTTCAAACCGGAACACAGCTGTGCAAGCGCCGCTATTTGAAGACAGAAATAGGAATAGAAGTCCTATCACCAAGACACGTTTTTACTATTGGTTTTGGAGAAGCTGACTAAGGCCTATTCCGGCGTTACTTTGCGGAAATCCATTATAATGGGGTTGTTATAAACTTATTTGCTTAATTCCGCGTAAAGAAAGAAAATGATGTGTCCTGCCCAGTTTTAAGGGGACCTCCCACCCTCCCTCAATCGCGCGCACTATACCCGCCGCTAGCTTAGCGGCCAGCCTCCGCAGAGTCTACTTCACCTGAGGATGCCTCGTGTAGAGGCGAAACACGTGTCGTATTTTCGAGAGTGGTGTGTCGTGCCTAGTGTGGTGGTGCCGGGGATGGTAGTACTGGGATTGACGGTGACGGGTATAGTGCGCGCGATTGAGGGAGGGTGGGTGGTCCCCTTAAAACTGGGCAGGACACATCATTTTCTTTCTTTACGCGGAATTAAGCAAATAAGTTTATAACAACCCCATTTAAAAAAGGAATTACCGAAATTGCCGTTAACCACTCCAGGTAAGCTTCAAATCCTTGTAGGTTCTTAAACATTTAAGTTTGGTGATCCATGCTCTTAACCAACAGGCTACTGTTGCTAAAATATTTGTAAATAATAAGATTGCAGTCACATAACTATGATTGCAAATAGACCCTTTCTACTAGAAACGTGGCATTCCATCTTACTCCTCAGGTGTGACAAGGCATCTGCATTTTTCTCTAATCGAAGGTAAATGTAGATGGGCCACAGCATCCACTAACCATCAGGTGGACTGTGTGCTTGTTTGTCACCCATATTCTATAAAAAAAATTACAGTGTCTGCAAAGTAATAATAGCTACGAGAGCTTTCAGAGCCTATTAGCTAGCTAGCTAATAGGCTCTGAAATTTTCGGGAATCAAGGAAGTGACACAACACTACTATTTAAAAATGTATTTATTGCTTTTTGAAGTATTCTCCGCGAAATTTGACACATTTTTCCATACGATGGAACCAATCATTGAAGCAACCATTCCCTTCGGAAGTTGGGGTCTCCAAAATGGCCGTTTTGTAGGCGTCCACAGCTTCTTCATGTGATGAAAATCTCTGTCCAAGCAATTTATTCTTTATTTTAGGGAAAGTATAGAAATCATTAGGGCTTAGGTCGGGGCTGTACGGCGGATGGTCTAATAATTCTATGTTTTCTTGCTCTAAAAACTCTTTTGTTCTGTGTGCGGTGCGAGAACTCGCATTGTCGTGAGGGAGGATGATGCGGCGGTTGCAGTTCTCTTTACGGAGTTCAGAAACGACCTGTGGCAAACAAATGCTAGCATACCATTCTGCATTAACCGTTCTTTGTCCCTCAAGAGGAATAGTCGTAACATGGCAGGTTTTGGAGACAAACGTGGCCACCATTTTTTTTTCTGCTACACTCCGTGAACGAACAATTTTTATTGGCTTTAACTCATTTTCGAACACCCAAACTCGTGACTGATTTTTTGTTTCGGGTTCGTACGCATATATCCAGGATTCGTCACTTGATACGATGTTGTATACAGCATTTGAGGATCCTGCGTGAAATTTTTCGAGAGTTCTGACGCACCAAGCAACGCGAGCCGCGTTTTGCTCTTCACAGAGCGAATGCGGTATCCATCGGGAAACACCTAATTGTTCATGCAAGATTATTTGTATTTGACTCATGCCAATGTCTAAAGTTGCCTGAATTTCGCGGTATATCACATGTCGATCTTCCTCAACCAGCTTACGCACAGCATCAACGTTTTCTTGGGTGACTGCAGTTTTTGAACGACCTTGACGGGGATCATCACGTCCACGTTGAAATTCAGCAAACCAGCGATAAATTGATGTTTGAGCGATAAACAAGTTTGACAAAACCTTGTGACAAGACCGAGAATCTTTTTTTAAATAAATAAATGGTATTCGATTTTTAAAACCAAGGACTTTTCAATTAAAAAAAAATTAATATGACAGTAACAGTGGAAATATTCCATTCCCGATACTTTTAGTGCAGCCCTCGTATAATAGCTGGTAGGGTAGACGGTTCCGTGGCGCAGTGGTTTAGCAATGATTTGCAGCGCTAAAAGCCGCGGGTTCGAATCCCGCACTGAACAAGTATGTGTGTGGTCTGTGAGTCTGGATGTTTGTTCATGTGAAATTTATATATGTAACCTGTCCCCACGATACATGAGAAAATTCTAGTGTGGAGGTAACGTTTTTATAGAAGAATAAAGGGTTGTCTATCGGCTTTGAGCAATTAAAAATTACCTGCTACGAAATCCGTATTATATTGCTATTAATATACTCGTAATATATTTTTTTATAGGATAGGGTGACAAACGAGCACACAGTCTACCTGATGGTAAGTATTTGCTGTGGCCCATAGACATCTACATCTATCCTCGTTTGCGAATCTAAATGCAGATGCGATGTCACCCGTGAGGACTAAGATGGAATGCCTCTTTTCCAGTAAAAAGGGTCTCCGGTTCTCTACACTCACCATACGAAACACAGAAGTGTTAAGCTGCTATTTTACGCTGGTATTCTGTGATATACATATAGAGAGTGTAAATTCCTAAGCCATATCAATTTTTAGCGCATAGCACTTTATGCGTATTAAAGTTGTTGACTAAAAGTGGTATAAATTAAGTTGATTGGTTAAAAATGGCAAGCGGCGGAAACGTTATTATTGGCGGCAGTCTAGTTTTCGACGACCGCGTACATGAGTTGAAAATTTTCAAATGTCGTTTTCAGCAGAACTGTACTGCGAATAAGACCACTGAGCCATTGGATAAGTATGGTGTGAACCGACGTGCTCTATTGCTAACTGCGCTGTTTGAGAAAAAGCAATATGTTTAAAATAATTCACAATCTACTCATTCTCTACAAAATTTCTTAAGTAACAGAGAGAACCGTTAGTGTAGAGCCAAGAGATACGGTAATTGTGGGTGATAATGTCTTGACAGACTCAGCTCTTCCAGAATTCGTTTCTGTACAAGCCATGCCTAACAAGCCCATCAAAGAGTATTTAGGCGTGTCCTTTATACCAGAAATAAGAACCCTTTTTATAAAGTATAGTTAATATCAGCGGAGTCCATTGCTGAACATGGGCCTCCCCCATGATTGTCTCAATAGTTGCCACACTTGGCGAACGTATTGGCAACCGCAGTTTTTTATTTTATTTTAATAGTTATTAGGAACATGCTGCTGCCCATCTCTTAATTTGTTTCCCTCTGTCGCCTCTTACGACACCCACGGGACGATCATCATCATCATCATCATTACAGCCCTTCACAAGTCCACTGCTGAACATAGGCCTCCCCCAAAGAATGCCACAAAGCACGGTCCTGAGCCACCTGCATCCATCGACTTCCTGCATATCTTACCAGGTCGTCACTCCATCTAGTGGGGGGACGCCCTACACTTCGCCTGCCGGTACGAGGCTGCCACTCGAGAACCTTTCTTCCCCATCGGTTGTCGGTTCTTCGAGCTATATGGCCGGCCCATTGCCACTTCAGCTTACTAATCCGTTGGGCTATGTCGGTCACTCTAGTTCTACTGCGGATATCCTCATTTCTGAGTTTATCACGCAGAGAAACTCCGAGCATAGCCCTCTCCATAGCTCGCTGAGCGACCTTGAGTTTCTTCATCCGGCCAGCAGTGAAGGACCACGTCTCAGTTCCGTATGTCATCACTGGCAACACGCACTGGGTGTACAGTCTCGTTTTCAAGTTTTGAGGTATACCTGACGAGAAGATGTGCCGTAATTTCCCGAACGCTGCCCAACCGAGTTGAATCCGTCGATTGACCTCTCGGTCGAAGTTGGACTTACCTAGTCGGACAATTTGTCCCAGGTAAACATACTCGTCAACAACTTCGAGCTTAGTGTTCCCAACAACTACCGGCATAGGTGTGACATGGACATTAAACATGATCTTTGTTTTGTCCATGTTCATCTTAAGACCTATCCGTTGGGAAACACTATTAAGGTCATTGAGCATAGTGCTTAGATCCTCCAGCGATTCTGCCATAAGGACTATATCGTCGGCAAATCGAAGGTGAGTGATGTACTCGCCATTGATGTTGATACCGTATCCTTTCCAGTCCAGAAGCTTGAAAACATCTTCCAATGCAGCGGTAAAGAGTTTCGGGGATATGACGTCACCCTGTCTTACACCTCTCTGCAATTGGATAGGTTTCGTATTCTGGTTCTGTACTCGGATAGCCATCGTAGCCCTACTGTACAAGCACTTCAACACTTCGATATACCGACAGTCAACTTGGCATCGCTGAAGGGACTGCAGCACCGCCCAAATTTCGACGGAATCAAAGGCTTTCTCATAGTCCACATACGCCAGACATAGTGGCAAATTGTACTCCTCGGACTTCTGTACAATTTGCCGAAGGGTATGTATGTGGTCTATGGTGCTAAAGCCTTTTCGGAAACCGGCTTGTTCGGGAGGCTGGAAGTCGTCAAGTCTGCGCGCGAGACGATTCGTAATGACTCTCGAAAACAGCACGTAGACGCGGCTCAGAAGGGAAATCGGTCTGTAGTTCTTCAAGAGAGCGTTGTCGCCTTTCTTGAAGAACAAGACCACCGCACTTCTGCTCCACGCCTCCGGTGTAATGCCACCATGGAGGACGGAATTAAAGAGCTTCTGAAGTACTTCAAGTACCGGTTTTCCACCCGCTTTCAGAAGCTCCGCTGTAATTCCATCCTCGCCTGGGGCCTTGCCGTTTTTAAGGTGCTGGAGAGCCATTCTAATCTCGCTCAGACTGACGTCCGAGATATCATCGGAATAATGTCGGATAAGACTCGCTCTTGGATCGTTACTCACACTTGCGTGCGGCTCCAACGATGACGTGTACAGCTGCCCATAGAACCTCTCAATCTCACTCAAAATCTCAGGTGCCCCGGAAACGATGCTGCCACATTCTGTCTTCAGCTTTGACAGTTGGCGCTTTCTGGCAGACAGATCTCTGGCAAAGACTTTGGAGCCTTGGTTCCGCTCGATCGCTTCTTCAATACGAGCTGTATTGAAGTTGCGTAAGTACCGCCGCATGCATTTGGAGATCTGTCTGTTCAGTTGCCTGTATGCTGTCAAATCTGTTGAAGAATGTAGCTTCATCTCCCGTCTAACAGCCATGAGATTAAGAGTGTGATCGGAGAGTTTTTGTGTTCTTCTGCGGCGGGTCTTGCATAACTTAGCTCCGACCGCATGGACAGTTTCCACGAGCTTGTCATTCAAATCGTCCACTTCATTGCAGTCTTCTAGGCACTGAAAACGGTTTTGTAACTCGAGCTGAAAGGTTTCAGGACTTTGGATTAGAGCACGAGGGGGACGGAGCGTTGACTTCATTAGACGAGACCTCTCCAACTTAACGTTTAGGTTCAGTGTGCCTCTAACCATTCGGTGATCGCTGCCTGTTTTCACGCTCGCGATCACTGAGACATCACTGAACAGTTGTCGTCTGGTCGTCATAATGAAGTCAATCTCATTTTTTGTCGAACCGTCGGGGCTCGACCAGGTCCACTTCCTGTGGGGCCGCTTCTGGAAGAAAGAGTTCATCATAAAGAGTCCCTCTTTCTCCATGAAGTCAGCCAACTGCTGGCCCCTTGGGTTCCGTTGCCCTATTCCAAATTTCCCTACTTTCAGCTCACCGTTCTCTCTTGTGCCTAGTTTTGCATTGAAGTCTCCCATTAACACCGTATATTGGGTTTTGGAGGAATGCATGGCTCTAGAGATATCCTCATACATTTCCTCCACCTCCTGATCGGGGTGTGCCGAGGTTGGTGCGTAAACCTGTATGACCTTCAGCGAATACCGTTTGGTGATTCTGAGTATACGGGTGATTCTGAGGTACGCAACCCTCGTCGACACACTCTCAATCTTTACAACGTTGTTAACGAGAGACTTGTGGACGATAAATCCGACACCTCCTTGGTACAGATGGTCGCCCTCCCGGTAATAGAGCAAGTTGCCGGATTCGAGGATTACCGTGTCCTCCCCCTCTCTTCGGACTTCGGATAATCCTATAATATGCCAGCGTAACTTGTCTATCTCTTCTTCCAGCTCCACAATCTTCTCGTCAGTCCTCAGGGTGCGTGCGTTGTATGTTGCCAGGTCGAGTCGTCGAAGGTGGCAACCGAACCTCCACCGGAGATTCTTAGCACCCCCTGCCCCGCCGTTACCATGGTCGCCACCGTAGCCAGGAATAGCGGGGCCGCCGGGGACTGGGGGCCGTTTATTACCAGGCAAGCGCAGTTTTTTTTAATTGTTATTTTGGCTATTATCAGGAAGATGCTGCTGCCCATCTCCTGCCTGTTTCCCTTTGTCGCCTTTTACGACACCCACGGAAAGATATGGGGTAGTGGATATTCTTAACCGCCACTACACGGCATATGGGGGTATATTCTTAAACTACCCCTACATGGAAGTTGCTTTTATTTGAAGTTACTCTAAATTTTGCAAAAATGTATTTCTCTTTCTTAAATATTCTCTTTTTTTTATACCTCCATACTAGGATTTTGTGGGGCAGTTTACATACAAAAATTTCACAAACACACATTAACAGGCCTTACAAATACTTGTGGTGCTGCATTTCATTACTAAGCCATTGCACCATGTAGCCATGCACCATGTATGTTATAAGAGGCAGCATAGGGAAATTAAAACAAAATGGACAGCAGCATCTGTCTGTTAAGAGCTGAAAATAATAAAACCTGTAGCTGCCAACCTGTCTGCCAAGTGTGGCAACTGTGGCAAATATATGAGGTAATCTATGAGGCAGACCTATGTTCAGCAGTGGATTTTCATTGTAACAATGATGGTGAAAAATTGAATATTTGAATACTAATAAGATTCAAATGGCAAATAGTTGTTTCTTGCTGATTTCACTGTTTGTTGGAAAGAGTTAGACACAAAGCTTTAACTACACTAAATGCTGTAAAAGTACACCAGTATAATTAAGGTGTTCTGTTATCCATTTTTGTTTTTAAAAATAAATTATGGAATAATAATTATAACCTGTAGTTGTATATAATGACGATCCTAGTCTTACTATCAACATTGGTGCAAATTTTACACAACTTGCATGTCACTGGCCACAGATTTTATTTACTTATAAATTTCATTCAAAATAGGTAGTAAAATCTTCGCACAGTACTTCAGTCACAGATGATTTGCTAAACATAAGAAATATTTTTATTTTTTAATGCCAGGTATTCCAAGCGGAATAGCTATTTACGATCGGATACCACCGCGCCGACGTGGCGCCGAAAAATAAATATAGGAAACTTACATACCATATTTCTCTAATCTCACATCAGTCACTTTGTACAAAGTATAACATATAAAACATGACTGACGGCAGTATAAGTGCTAATCATTCTCTTAAATTTGGCGCAGGTCTTACCTCGACAATGTCCCCCTGGACAGTGGCAAGCGACACGCGGATCGAAAATCACTTCAAAAATTGATAATTTTTTTAATAAATGTAATGAAAAAATATACATTAGGTAGAATCGATTCCAAAATGAATTATCTATAAATTGATATTATTTACAGAAAAATAGGAGTATTAGCAATTGTTTAAAATGAAATTTGCTTGTAACAAAACTGCAAATCAAATGCTGTTCGGTATTTTTTTCTATCGAGAAAATTGTATTGTATTGTGTATTGACATTACATTACACGTAGTACATTGTAAGGAGAAAGAATGTAAATAAAATGTCAATTTTTTCACATTCTAAATGTAAAAATTTGCCAATAAATAACCAATTTTAAAACTAACAAAAACAGAAACACCCAGCCTTAATAGAAAATTAAATATATAATATATATTATTAATAATCTTACAGAATGCTGGTCCATAATCTCAGAAAGTTTAGCTCCATATTGTTTCTCTTCTTCTTGCACAGCCTGTTCTAATCTTGAACATTTTCTTTCCTGTCTCTCTTGCAGGACCTGATAGAAACTTTACTAATTATTTAATTTTAATGAATGACCTGGTAAGACATGCATGAAGTCGATGGATGCAGGTAGCTCAGGACTATATTTTGTGGCATTCTTTGGGGGAGGCCTATGTTTGGCAGTGGACTTCTGAACGGCTGTGATAATGATGATGATGATGAATGAGTATCTACAATATAACATATGTACAATATTTTGTTATTTAAGATTCTACTATAGATTTGTTTAACAGATTTTTTTTGTACTAGCAAAATAAATAAATCTCAAAATGTTATGAACATCTTTTTTTTATTATACTGTCATTCATTTTCCTTTACTCAGTATATATTCAGCTAATCACAGATGTTGTTTTTTTTTAATAGTATAAGGATGACAGACATCTACATCTATTTTTAATTAAATATCAAAATCCAGATACATTGTCACCCATGAGGACTAACATGGAAGCCTTGTTTCCAGTAAAGTCTACTTCTCTTCAATCACCATACAAAACACAGCAACATTAAACTGCTATTTTACACTAATATTCTAAGAGAGTGTGGTCATGCCCTGGTCATGCAGACTCATTTGTACTATAGCCATAATATAGCTTCAGAGTTTACCTATGATATTTAAAAATACTTATTAAAAATTGAATAATGTTACAGTCCGGAATGCCCGATAGTCCAGCATCGCTCTTTGGTTTTCGGTTTTCACCAAAAGTGTGTCTTTAAACCAAATAAAAATGCTCGAGAGCTATTCGGAAGTTTTCGGGGTAGTTCGGGATCATCCGGAAGCGCTCGGTATTGTTCGGAAACAATTATGAAGTTAGCGGCCGGCTAGTCTCAGCTGTCACAACAAATTCAGATGCAGTGCAGCTCCGTTAATCAATCACGAAGCGTCTTCGCCATTTTTTTGTGCATTGTTGTTTTGTGAAGAAACATAAAGATAAGGAAAAAATCAGCTAAGCAGAAGCTGCAGAATCACTAAATAAGTTTATCTCTTTTGCTGAAGCTAGTACTAACTACAGTGCTTCACAAATTATTAATTTCCATATCATTAGAAATAAATTTTATACTAAACGCCAAAAGTCCAAGAAAACAAAAAGACATTCGTGACTTTTTTTAAATCTGAGTGAAATATATTTTACAGTACTTGTATATACTTTATATGAAATGTAAAATAAACTTTGTTGTATGTACATACATATTTGCATACTGTATTTGTAATTAAATTATTAACCTAATTGTTCTTATAATTACCGCCCGATAGACCGGAATTTTTGGTAGTCCAGCACCAAGCCGGTCCCGAACGTGCCGGATTATCGGACTTCTACTGTACATGATTTAAGTTTTGATAGTAAAAATATAAATAAAAATTACAAACAAATTTCAACAACTTTACAGAATAAAATTATTTCCATTTAATAGCTTTTGAAGATGGGGCTTTAATTCTACAATACATAATATGCTCTTTACAACCTGCTTCTACAGTACATTCACAAAAGAGCTAATGGGTTTCAAATTTTCACATGACAGAGCTATGCCTCAGCTATATTGTGGTTGCAACACAACTGGGTTGGCTCATCCAAGATAGGACCATGCACTCACAGAATACCATCATAAAATAGCAGCTTAATGCTGCTGTGTTTTGTATGGTGAGTGTAGAGAACCGGAGACCCTTTTTACTGCAAACTTGCCATTCCATCTCAGTCTTCAGGGGGTATGACAACGCATCTGCATTTCGATTCTTAATTGAGGATAAATATAGATGTCTATGGGCCACAGCAACCACTTAACATCAGGTGTACTGTGTGCTAGTTTGTCACCCTTATTCTATAAAAAAAATTACAACCTTAATTATCTTGAGCCAGTTATTAACATATTCTGGCTTAGCTTTCCATTTACTCCCATCAAGTTGCGGGTTGATACGTATTTTTACAGAAAAGTTACACTATTATAAGCACACACACAAAGTTAGAACATGCGGAAATGCGAAATTTTTGAGAAAAAAGTTGTTGAAAGTCAATTACTCTTGCATTGTTTATATCTAATCCTACCATAAAACTGACGCCATTTTGTAATGTCATTGTCGTCAGTAGGGATGTCGATTCTTTCCGAAAAGGGTCGATTTTTAAATAGATTCAAATTGTAAACTGATGTATCGATTCATAAAAAATCGATTTCTAAAATATCTATATTTTTTATGTTTGCATTTATAATGTAAATATAATTCCATTTTATGAAAAACAAGAAAGATACCATAATAAATGATCTCTTATTGAATTTTGTTTTATTTTAACAGTACCAATTAGGGCAGATAACAAATAAAATAGGTTAGGTTCAACTTATGTCAAAGAACCGAATTGATTGACCCCGACTCCACCTGGTACGAGTCTGTCCTACCCCTAGAGTGGTTTTATAGAGCCGGAGGCGCGTAGGGGGAGCAGCCTTCGTCTGCTGTAACTAATCGTAGGCATCGGACGAGCCGGAGCGGCTGAGGCTGGTCGCCGAAGGCGACCAACAAGCCGAAGCTGCGGAGGCGAGGACATCCCTACTGACAATAACAATAAAAAAATGGCGTCAGTTTTATTGTAGGATTAGACATAAAGAATGTAAGAATAATTGATTTTCAATAACTTTTTTCTCAAAAATTACGCGCTTCCGCATATTGTAACTTTGTGTGTGTGCTTATAATAGTGTAACTTTTCTGTAAAAATACGTATCAACCCGCAACTCGATGGGAGTAAATGGAAAGTCTTTCCCATATTCTTTTTTTTTAATAAATAGAAGTACCTTTAAGTCTTGTATTGCTTGTGTGAAAATGTCATGTATCATCTCAGGATCAAATTGATCATCTTTAAGTTGAGATTCCTGCATACTTCTTCGAACCATTCTTTCAACAAATTCGTCTGGGTCGAATGGATCCTAGGAATAATTAAAATTTGTCAGTAATAATCAATTTTTGTACACAGCATATAAGTAAAAGAATTAAGTAATTTACTTGTTCCAACTCTTTTAGATATTGGTTCATCATTTTGCGATCCGTACAACTATGACCTTTTTGTAAAAAGCGCTCTAGATGTTCTGTTACGCCCCACTTAATGTTTGGTTTCTTTCTTTCATAAAAAACGTAATAATTATACAGATTGGTTTTCTATTTCCACAAAGTCTACTCCGTGTTTCTATATAGCCTCTTGTTAGAGAGTAGTATATAGCTTGTTAAGTTTATTATCACAATTGTACCGTAAAAAAGAAAAACAGTACATAAACTCAGAAGTATTATTCCCACGGATTATTCCCCTTCCCTGTTTTTCTTCTTATCACAAACACAAATTCATAAAGTCTACTGTCAAGTGTCAACTGTCACTCAGTGTCATGTCAGCTGTCAGTGTCTGTAATTTCCTTTGAGCATAGAAAATAGAGGAGCTGCCCAGTACGTCTATATGTTTTATTGGTTATACAAATATGGTTAAATTCGACATTGAATTGTCAATACACTGTGTTGGCAACCAACATCGTCCGCCCCTCTTCGTGCACCACGGAAGAGAAGTGGAAGGGGAAATGTGAAGTGGAAAGGGAAATGTATAAATTAGGGTGCATCATGATTCTTGGGCATTCCGTTTGAGAACACGCGTCGAATTAGTCAAAGTGTAATTGAGTGTCGTGATTAAAAAACCTGTAATATTGAGTGCTTTGTACAAATATTAATTGAATACATATATTGTGTTATAAGTGCATATTTCTTTATAATAAATTATTTCATTGTGTTAACATCAGAAGTGGGATACAATCCCTGTTATCGTCCACATAATATAATCTTCGAATAGTGTGATAGTTATTAACTTTGTGAAAGACTTCGCGTTGATGTCATTGTTTTTATTAAATGTCGAGATGAGATTTGCTGTACTATTCACGACATTGACATACAATTAAAGTATAGAGTAAAAGTTTAAAGTGAAATGTTTTAAGCCAAAAGTTAAATCGTTTTGTTCAATTAAGATTCAGTTTATAATAAGGTACCCGCAAGTACATTCATTATTCCTTTACGTAAAAATGTTAAAAGAAATGTTGGAGGTATTTTAAGATGAGTTATAGTTTTGCATTCAGTGGACTCGAGTTATAATTGGATATGTGGTGTAATTTACATGGACTAATTTTAAAGTTCAACATGTTTTAACGATAAACAAAAAAAAAATGCTTAACTTTAACGTGCAATGAATTAAAAACACCAAGTAGTATTGTATTCTAATGTGTTGACAAGTGTTACAGTTTAATCCAAGTCTTGTGTTCGACAAAATTGGGATCTAATGTTGAGGGTATAGTGGAAGGCGTGGTGCTGTGGCGCCCGCTCTTGAGTGGAAGTATGCTGTGGGCTTATGACGCCACAGGCACATTATTTGCCGCTGCTAGCGATCACCATTTGATACACGAGGAAAGCAAATTTATCCTAAATATTGTCTTAAAAATATTTTGTAAGAATAAGTGCTTAACTTTTTAATTAGTTGCGGAAAAACAAAGTATAACTGACGAAATCGAAGTAAATAAAAATTAGTTGACATTGAAGAGATAATTTAACGATACATGAGGATCGCACCATACCAGAGGTTGTCGTGTAGCAGCAGCTCGGTATATGGTGTTCTAGAAAAGCGAATGGTGTCCCAAGAGTAGTGCTGCACTTCTTGAAATCAAGTTTCGACCGAGACTTTTTAATGTTTTCTTTTATGTGTTACAGTAGCACGTGTGATGTGATTACATGTACGCGAGTGTAAGGTGAGTGTGTGCCTTGCTGGTCGGTATGGACTACCGGGTCCAGCTGTATCATGGCCTGGTTTCGGCAGACGCGTATGCTGCACGCGCGGTGGGCGCCGTTCCGAAGCGCGCGTATGTTATACATGGCGGTGCCTCGCGAGTCGTATACTATGTGTGCGCGGAAGTGTTATACTCTGTATGCGCGGAAGTCGTGTTCTCTGAACATGCAGCAGGCTCTATCCGGGCAGGCGCTGTCCTGGTTCACGTTGTTAACGTGATTCACGTGGTTAACGTAGGATCTCGCAAGTTTAAGTAAGAGTATGTGTGAGATACTTCGTATGGAGATGTCTGCTTAAATGTGGAAGCGAAGTGCTTTATTATAGTCCACGGTATGAGAGCGTATGTCTGTTTGAGGGCCCTCGTATGCGTGATGGATGAGAGGATAGGCAATTGTGTATCCTGCCTGCTAATTAACAAGTTGTTTTTCACGTAGATCACGATGATTGCAACGCAATAAACGCACAAAATATAAAAGGCGTAGGCGATCGCGTTCTTTGAGCTTAAAGAAATTTAAGAGTCAGGACAGGCCGAAGCAAATAAAGATATTTTCAAAAAAAACTATGAACGTTTAGATGGTAAGGTATAAGGAAATACATCACAAAGTCGATGTTAGGTAGTACCGAAAAAGTGTATGTGGCAAAATTTTTGATTGCATTTTACTGAGTGCGCAAGTCGGTACAAAATATTGGTAAAGCACATAAAAAGTTAAACAAAACCGAGATAAGCATAGTTTAAATAAGCTTGTTACGTTTAAGTAAAACGAAATATCTTATTAAAACGCAACTGGAATGAACTTGGTACCTTTAAGTGAGACTAATTGTCCTTTAAACGAAAGTGATTCCAGGAGAAAGACTAACCTGGTCTCTTAAGTGTGACAAGTTCCTTTAAGTGCAGGTGGTCTTAAAAGTGCCGTCGAGTTTTGTAGAACTAAAAATGTGTAACCTGATTGTAACCTTTGACTATAAACTTTCGTCATGATAAGATAATTGATATATGTAAAAGTAGTTTCTAATCAATTTATGTCTTCGCAGTATTTTAAATAGACTCGTGAGGTTCCTGAGGCAGGAACCATGCAGGATGGCAGTGTTGGCAACCAACATCGTCCGCCCCTCTTCGTGCACCACGGAAGAGAAGTGGAAGGGGAAATGTGAAGTGGAAAGGGAAATGTATAAATTAGGGTGCATCATGATTCTTGGGCATTCCGTTTGAGAACACGCGTCGAATTAGTCAAAGTGTAATTAAGTGTCGTGATTAAAAAACCTGTAATATTGAGTGCTTTGTACAAATATTAATTGAATACGTATATTGTGTTATAAGTGCATATTTCTTTATAATAAATTATTTCATTGTGTTAACAACTGTCTATCTCTTTTTCACTCAACTAGTGTGTGAAAAGTGTCATTCATAAAAGAAACGGATAATAGAAATTGTTTCGTATTCTGGTAAACATTTTTAAGATGACATCATTGTTTCTGATTTGTTGTTATAAAAAGTCGTTTGATAGTTCTTAATTTTAAAATTTTACGAATTTTTCTACAGTTTAAAGCGAATTTTTCAATTCATTATAACGTACGAAGACTACTAAATGTTGTGTGTGAAAAGGCTGTGCCTCAAAATATAGTCAAAAACACGCGAACTATCATTTCATAGGTGAGTGATTTAGTTTTTACTGTAAATATAATGTAAAAACGTTTATATCTTTTGCGACAGTAAGGAGATGGATGTAATTATTTACCTTTAACCTTTAACCTTTGATTTATATTATTTAATTACTTCTTATCATTATTTGCGTATCTATAAAATTTTGTTGTTCGTAAATAGTGATGTTACATTGTTAACAATAAATTATTTCAAGTACATACTTTATTAAGATTTTTATTGATTTATTTTGTCGTATTATGTGAAAAAGTTTTGCGTTTTACATTGCATTATTTAAGTGTCATGGGTCTGAGCAGTTTAAGCATGAATGATTAACTAAATTATACGGAAACGGAGTTACATTCATGTTAGGTACCTACGGTACCTACATAATAAAAGTGAAGCAAAGCAATAAATATTGCATAAAGTACAATCTAGCACCTGTAATCTCTCTCTGTAGGCAAACATGCAAATACCTCGGAGACTAAGGACATTATTACTTAACTTTATTATATATTGTTTATTATTTTATATATTAGCCCATCCGTGCCTTCTAATAATGCAATATTTAATTATTAATTTAATTATAAATTTTAAGCATATTTTTATATCTTTAATTTACCTTAAGTCACTTTTTATAACAACCATGCTGTTGTTTAATTTGTAATATTAATTGCAACTTCATAGATCTAAATAATTATTTTCTGTTCTATCATTTTTAGGTTGCCAAAGAACAAAAATAAAAGACAAATATGGCTTTACTCTATTGATGTAGAAAATATCAACCCAACAGATAAACAAAACCTCATATGTTCCCTGCATTTTGCAAAGGAATCTATTAATAAAATTCTTGATGTCGTTAGGCTTTGTAATGATGCAGTGCTGACAATATTTCCGGCTGTAAGTTTCTAATTTTGTTAAATTTGCACAACAAGCAATGTTTGTTACGCAAATATGATTCGTAGTTCTTTTAGAAGAAGTGATTACTGATGCTTAACATTACTGGTTAAGCATATTTTGACATACATAATATTAGTTAGTTTTCAAAATATAGATATTTACTTTATATTTATCAATAAAACTACATATATTTTTTATTATCTCTTTCCCTACCCCATGAGTCATATATGAACATTTAAATTGTTTAACTATTGTGCCTGTTTTGTGGACAGGAAAACTGTTAAATATTAAAAAATCTTTGTATATACATTTATAGAATTCTTGCTATTTTAAATTAAAGAGGTTCCACAAAATAATGTTGTTCATGATCAAAACATTGTTTTTGTGGAATTCGTTTAAACTTTTATGCAAAATTTGGAAATTAAGATTGTTATTTTGCAAAGAGTGACAAAGCAAATTTATGTTGCGGAAGTGAACGGCAGGGTCGGGAAGGGACGACCTAGATGAAGGTTTATCGACCAAATCGGCGATACATTAAAAATGGGCCAGATTAGGAGTACCCATAACCGACGAGCGTGTATGCGTAGATATATGGATGTAAAAGAGGCGAGAGAGGTGTGTCAGGATCGCGCCAAATGGAAGTCCGTAGTCTCTGCCTACCCCTCTGGGTGACAGGCGTGAGTGTTT